CATGAAATTTAAGTAAGTTTTTCTATCAAATAAAATTTCTGTACTGTCTGTGTGAAAAACAAAAAATAGGAAGAAATTCAATTAAAATTAAAGATTTTATATCTCGTATATTTCTTAATGGACTGTCATGAAATTTAGTATGTGAAGTAAGGATCCAGTAGAGTGCATCCATTGAAAATATGTGATAGTTGGGATTACCACAGTCTGAGCTACAGAAAATGGAAAACTGCTAAACTATCACTTCTGTTAATAACACAGTGTGTCCTGCAAGTTTTTTGGCTGCTCAATACACTTCTGTGTGTGTTGATGTAGGTTTCATTACAGGAACATGGAATTAGATATTTGTGTTTCTTGTAGTAGGTTTCTGTATATCTTTGACCAGGACAGATCTTATTTAGCTTAATCTCCTTCGTTCTATAAAAAGTTTTTATTTAACAGCCCTTTTAAGGGCTTACCACTATTAATACAAGAAAATTATAAACAAGCCAAGACCATGCATATGAGAGTTACAGGACTGCCACTCTCCCTGAACACAAGACTTATGATGTTACAGCTGTTTGCAGACCAGCTCCCTACTTCTAAATCAGACCAACCATCCACAAGAGTCGATGAAAAAACTGATCTTTATGTTTAAAGCCTACATACTAGATCAACCATTAAACAGGCAAGATGTGTAGATTTTTATTAATCAATATTCAGAGGAATTTATACCATAAGAAATTTGAACTTTTTGATCCATGTACCAGCTACCAAGTTGACCTAACAGTCATAATGAAACATTATTGAACTAAGATAATTTCTACCTACCAATTACAAATTTATCTGAAAGCTTAAAGGTCCAACTAAGTAAAGTATATAGCTCTTCTTTACAAGACACAACTAAAATAAATCAGTAATAATTATAACTCTTAAAATGAATATGTATGATTCTAACTTCATATTGTTAAATTCTTGTAATTTCCCTACTAGTTTTATCTGCTTCTCTGTCAACCACTCTCGACACGAATCTCATGCAAAGTGTAATCAGTCAAAACAAAAAAGTATTAAAATAGGTGACTTAAATTCCATAACAAATAATAACCTATCAATAGTTAATGACACACCCCTACACACACACACATATTAATATGGAAAGCAAGATATATGAGACCTAGCAATAATCTCTCCAACACTAATATCATATATTTCAGCTTTTAAAGTACACAATGACATTGGTGGAGATCATAACTCTATCTCTTTCTCATTACTTCACAGCACAAAATCATAACCACAAACCTTGCCTGAAGTTTATAATTAGACCACAACTAATTTGAAAGAATTTAGGAACATAACTACCTGTCTTCTACCAGAAATTCATGAAACAGCATACAATAAATCATATACTGATAATTATGCTGATATCATTATCAAAGCTATAAATTAAGACATTCATAATAC